GAAGTTTAAATAAGCTATTCTGTACAAATTTCCTCTTAAGATAGGAATGTTTGGTAAATTTTAAGGTTTAAGTGCTACTTACAAACCTGTGTTTAAAAAAGAAAAAAAAGAAAGAAGCAAAAGAAGCAAAGTGAAAATGACAGCTTTCAATTTAACTGGGATGGTCTAAGTGCTTCTACAAGGTTTTACCAACTCAGACTTTCAAAGTGTCCTTCTGATGAAAGGCAGAAGTCGTATTTGGGGCTGTGCACATAACTCCCTGCATGCTCTCTGAAAGCATGTGCCTTTGTATCAAAAGCTCAAAAACTTAGTGAATGGCCTGAACATCGCATAATGCACAATTTTTAATCCGCGCAAATGTTACCGTTGGTAGAGCTTTCTGCCTTGTGTAAAGGGACTTGGCGTCCAGGCTCAGGGACTGCCCTCTGGAGCCTGGCAGTCCGCCTGCATCCGCCCTTCCAGCTCTTGGCCGCTTCGCAGCTCGAAGGACACTTCTTTTGCTACTAGTCCAGCTTATTTTTTAATGATGAGGAAGAACATACTTCATAATAAGGATTATTCATACTGCAATTAAATCTTCTTTGAGTAGGTCTTATTTGCTGCAGTATTGCATGTTGCATAGGGCTTATATGCTACTTATATCTGCCTCAATGACTGTATCTAAGGTACTTTCTTCACATGTTTCATCCTGGCTGCTGGAAATGTTAATGGGGCTCATAAAAGCTGAACAGTGTCACTGCTTCTCTGCTTATGATAAGCAACAAGCACTTCAGCAATACCGATTCTATTTTCCAGGCAGGCTTAAGTGTATTTGAAGAACTGCAGAATAAAAAAATGGTATTTGCGTTAATTCTTCTAAATAACAAGACCAGACATCTCAGAATGTACCTCAGGGCCCATATTTTAGGAAAGTATTCTGCCCTTTGGAAGAAATCAGGTTCTAAAGAATTAATTTGAACCCAAGGGACTTCTGTTTTTTTTTTCTTTTTTTTTTTTCTCCTTTCTTTTTTTCTTAGCATAACAACAGCTCCCAGTGGTTCAGCTTTCATAACCTCTGAGTCTATGTATTAGACACTTACAAATGTATTAAAGATTCTATCCCAGCATTCAAGATAGCGGCAGATATGATTTTCAGATATGATTTTAATTTTAAACAGATGCAAGCATTCAAATAACTGTTTCATTTGGGTGAATATTTAGGTGCTCCACATTTAGGCACAAATGCTAGGTGCATTTTGCTTAAGAAAGGAAACCTTCTAATTTAGTAGCTTAAAAACTTAAAGATACTGCCTTTATAACACAAACTATCTTTGCTTTGAAAATCTAGGGCTCAGTTTTCAAAGCAATGCCTAGGAATTTAGCCTGCGACCCCCATTGACACTAATGGGAATTGCATAGCTTAGTCCCCATAACATCACTTTGAAAATGCATTTGTTATAGCAATCCAGAAAATGCTATAGGGAGACATTCACAGCTCAAGAGATCAGTTTACACTTTGAAATACAAAACCAATGTGTGTTATTTCAGTTATGTGATCAGTGGCAGGGGGGATTTTAAAATTCACCACCTTCACAAAATAAGTCACCAGGAGTAAATAAAACAAAATATTTTGGCAAGTGGCAGACAGACTTGCTAACCAGGCTAACAAGGCGTTTGTCAGCAGTAAAGAGCTCCAGCTGATTAAGTGCTAATTGAATTTGGTGGGTGCCGTGTTATTCAGCAGCTAGCAAGTGTCCTCTTTGTTCCTTGCGGGTTGGATTTAGATATCTATATTTTCAACACTGCTGTTGTTCCTTTGTGTCTAGGAAATGTTTAGAGTGAACAAGACTTGTCTTTGTTCAGTTCAGCTTCTGCTCCTTGGCATTTTAGTTCCATCCTAGTGAGTGCTGTCACGCTGTGCATGCTTCCAGAAACGGGGAGAGAACGCAGTTTGTGAACTAATGGGCATGGTGTCTTAATGTTCATACTTTTTTTGTTTTTGTTGTTACTGTTGTTGCTTTTAACTCACTGGGAATAGATGTGCACCTATGCAGTGTATATTCACGTCTTCTTGTGCATGAAATGGAAACAGAGCCTGGGAAGAAAGCGGCTTTGTTTGGTAGCTGTATTACTGCGGCGCAGATGAGTCCAGTCATAGGCCATGGCCCCATTAGGCTGGCCAGAGTATAAATAAGTGTTTTAACAAAAGGAAGACAATGTCGCCTCAGAAATTGCAAGCTGATGAGATTATAGCTCCACTGGAAGGTTACGGTTATGTCAGAAATTATGAAACAACAGTGATTCTGGTTGACACGCTTGCTCTGCGGGCAGCAGCCTGGTGCATCCCTGTGCGTGGAGGCAGGTAGTGCGAGCCCCTCACAGCTCAGGGCCTTTCCCTGCTTACAATGGCAAAGTTCCTGCGTGGCTGAAGCTTTTTCAGCACCAGTTATTACAGTAGTAATAACTGTATATTTGTATACTTGCTGTTCTTGTGTTTCAGTGGCTTGAATGGAACATAGCTACCAAAAATCATTTTTTTTTCCTTAGGTCAAAAGCCATGTGCCCTCAAGGAAAAACTTATGTTGCTACTGCTCTGTATTCTTTCCTTAAAAAAAAAAAAGCCTTGGCGTAGCTTGTAGCTTGCAGTTGTATATGCTTGGCACCACTCATTTCCCAGAAGAGTTCACCAGTATTCTGGGCTTTGGGGTTTTTTTAATTAAAGAGGTCAAAATCCATTATATCTAAATTTCAGAGAATTTACCAATTAGCTCTAGTCTGCAATGCCCAGCAGGTGGCTTTTATACTATTAAAGGGAGATTGTTTCCATCTCTGATCAAAGCAAAAACAAAGCAAAAGAAAAAACACAATATTTTCCTGTACACAGTGCAAACCACATGCTGTGTAAATTATAGGTGAAAGCTGGGTGTGAGAGACTGTTCAGCAGTATGGCTTCAAGAAAAAAAATCTATATATTTAACACCCTTCCCCATGAGGATTTTAATGGTAATGTCTAAATCTGTTTAGACTACTGATTAGCTAAGAGGATTAGACAGCTTGCTATTTCCTAAAATGAAGATTTTAGCGTTTTCTTATTTAAAAGTAAAAGTAAAAATACAACAAAGCACTTTAAAGAATTTGATAGAAGTGAAATGAGCCAAAGCTGAGTGTGCCAAAATGTCTCAAGGTGCAAAAAGCTTCTAATTTGCCCTTTTCAGTGAATCTAAATTTCTCAGATTTTTACCTACTTAAAAGAATGCTTGTGACCTCCTGACCCTTTTGTTATCCTTTGCTCTGCGAGGCCTTTATTCTGTAAGGCTTAGGTATAAAAAATAAAAAGGAGCGTTAATGGCATAACAGTCCTTTCTGATCACCCTGTGTAAGATGTTTATGCAAAGTGTCAATAGAAGCAATTGGCCTAACAGTGTGACAACCTGCTTTGCTTGGAAATGGGCTAATCTCCTGTTTGGGTTATCCAGAGGTCAGGTGAGGATTTCTTTTTTGCGCTCCCCATAGTGCATGGGTACATAACCTGCAGACATTGTAGGCCAGAAAGCAGAAGCTGCTGAGCCCAAGAATGGCACGAAGTAGCATGTTTTGTTTTGTTTTAATTCCTGCCTTATTGCTGTTCCTCCTCTGTCTTCTTTTAGATTTTTTCCTATCCTGGTACCATCCTAGAGTTTGATTGAACATACAATATATGACAAGGACAGAGGCTCTAGCACTATCATAGTCTCCTACTTCACTTTGCCTTTTTTTTTTTCCTCCCCAAAAAGGCATCATCCCACTGTTTTCTGAAGTTCATGTGGAAACCTACTTTACACCGCGGTTTTCCAGGGCTGCCCCTGTTGCCCTGTCACAGCAGGCTGGAGCTCAATACGCGCTCAGGCAAGCATAGCGGTCACGAAGCAGGCCTTGGCGGGCTGCACGCTGTGAACTCCTGCCTCACTGAATCAGCTTCTGTGTGTTTTTATAAACTGCCTCTTTTTTTTTTTTCTTTCTTTCTCTCTTTTTCTTTTTTTTTTTTTCTTCCTGTTAATTATGCCCCAAGGCTGTGGAAAGACAGCATTTATCTGTTGAAACAGACTAAGCAGCAAGTGTTCTGACATGTTTATCAGGCAAATTGTACCTGACAAAAGGTAATTACACATGCAATCAAGTCCCGCAGTAACTGGGTGACTAGGGGTTAATAAACTGTTTAGCATGAGAAATATTCTGCTTGTGAGCAAGGAGAGTGGGCCAGAAAGGCACAACTAACTAACAGTGATATGTTTTTTTTTAAAAAAAGAGACTTCTGGCAGATTATGTAGATTTGCGGAAAGATAGCAGCAGGATATTAGATGTACAGCTTCTCATTTTTATCACCAACTCTTGCCCAAATGTGCAACAAAGCCATTTACTAGCACTGGTGATACATCAGAAGAGATAAAAGCAATATTCGAGCTTGTACAAAGCTACCAGGCAGGATAGTTTAGAATTAGGGGTGCTTCAGTGTTGCCAATCTTGTTGGTATTGTCGAATGGCTATAGGAGCCATTTCTGTGGCACCAATATCTGTTGCTGAGCTGACCATGGATAGCTGGTTCCCAAAGTTGTCTTCACTTCCAAGCTTCCAATCAGTTGCCCAAAAGCAAAAAAGGAAGAGGCGTTCAGATGGTATGTGGGGATGTGATAGAGACTCAGTCAACGTTGAAGAGCTGCGTGCTTGAGTCAAGCATTTCCCAGTGCACAAATTTCTCACGTAATTACAAGATGGCCTAAATAGAGGGCTACGGCTGAGCTCCTCCAGACTTTAGGTAACAAAAGACAAAGCACTACTCAGTGATGACTACAATTAATTTATATCCCCACATTGCCATAGATATTGGGAAAACGTAAGAGTTCTGAGCTGAGGAATAAGTACAGATGCCCTATTTGAAACTTGAATCCTCTCCATAAAGTCTTAAGACTTTTTTTCCTTTTGGTATTAATATAGTTATATTTTGCATTAGACAAATTCATGTCTCGGATGTCAAGTTCTTGAAGCAGGACCTCTTTAACTGAAAAAAACAGATCAGTATCTTCTATGATAATGTTGTGTTTAAGATCAGAATTCTTCTAATCAGAAATAGCAACAGTATCTTTGGCATGGTATAAATATAACCTTCCTTCTTCTGTGTTGTTGTTTATTTGTTTTTTGTTTTTTTTTTCTAAATGCTGTTTATTTCAAGCAGGGAGAGCTTATGTTAGACATATAAAAGGCATTTAGAAAACAGATAGACAGGAACAGAAAGATTCAAGTGTAGAACAGCAATGAAAGTTATATATGTATATATTATAGATGTATTATAAATATGTATTAGAAGTTATACATGATTAATAATGGGGTGCTTTGAGAGGGCCATACTTGTTCCCATACAGTAAAAGGAATATGCTCTGTGGTCATCAGCTGTGATATTCTCAGGATGTTGGATAAGATTCCCCTCCATGACACTTCTGGAAGAGGCAAACCCCACAGGCGAGGCAGAAGGCTCCGCTCCCGCAGCCAAGTGTGCACAGCAGATCTGCTCTCTTGCTCATAGGACACCATATTCTGCTTCCTTCTAAAACTCTCTTCCCAGGTATAGCTTTGCTTGTCTTAGCTTATTCTCGTTTCCCAGGGTTGTTATGGGAGAATATAGATAAAAAAGAGAGTTGAGTACAATAATGCCGTTGTCCTCACCTAGCAGTGTGCCTATATCTGGTTTAGTGGATGCATCGCTGTGTTTCAGGCAGGCAATAAGCTGGTTCTGCTGAAGCACAGACAGGTGTTTCCTCAGGTCTGTGTGAGAAGCTGACAAGCAGCTAATGGCCTACGCTGCCTCCAGACTCTGAGAGTAAAAGATTTCTTTCTGCCCAGTTTGTAGTATTTCCTGTATATGTCAAAAAAAAAAAAAAAAAAAAGAGATGCATGGAAGAAGCAGGCACATCCTATTGTAGCTTTGAAGCACACAGTGCACGTTCTAACCTTGGAGTAGCATGTGGACACCCAGTAGTGCTAATGAGATGTGTCACACTGTAGGATTTTGATTGATTTTTAGGAAAATATTTATTGCTAGGTCCTACTATGTGCACTTATTTCTCTTACTGCAGTGCATGTAAATGTGGACCTTTCCTTGCTAAATAATAACTGTCATTTTCAGTTACTGTCACAGTCATGGTAACAGTTTAGGTAGAGTAAATAATAGTAGGGGAATGCTGATTTGATTTGGCCTTTAATACCATTATTCTGGTCGCCACAATAAGAACCAGTATCATAGGACCAGCGAATTCTCCTGTACTTTGTACTTTACAACTGTGAAGCCACAGGACGAGTTGACTTGAACTTATATGCCCTAAATGTTTTGATTAGTTGTAGCTGATACCTTTTTTGGCAAAATTAACGTTTTTGTGATGGGACTTGCCCTTGAAATATTTTTTTCTTTTTACGCATTAATGGTAATTACAGTATTTAAAACCTCAGAGTTTTATAACCTTCTTTTATTTCAGTGGGATTTAACATATCCCACATATTACATCTCTGTAATATGAGTCATGTCAGTATGTCAAGCCAAATCTGCAAATTATTTCCATTATATCTGCACCTTGAGTATTGTGTAACATTACCAAACATTGTTCCCTCTCCTTGTGGTTTTGCACACACCTGGTCCTTGTCACATTATAAGATCATTTTAATATGCGACTATTGTAAATGAAAATACAGCAAAAATATAGGGGGATATTTTTTCTTTTTCATTTCTGGTGAAGAGTTGGGCAAAAGTTAGTTTTTCAAGATAAATTTCTTGAAGATATCTGTGTGCATGAGTTTTTTTTAAAAAGGCTTTTTTTGCATTTTCATATTTTTCTGTTACTTTTGAGAAACCTTAAGTATGAATTTTGAGCTATCTCTATCCCCTACTGGACTAATATTAATTCATCAAAGGATTAGGTGGGCCAGTGCTTCATTATCAGCTTTGTATTTTCAGGAGTACGTTCACATCATATGAAGTAGCCTAAATAGTTTTTTCTGCCTGTGAGTGAATGGAGCATCTCCCAGCTCGTGGCCAAGAGCAGAGCAGAATCTGGGGCAGAGCTCAAGAGGAGTTTTGTACGAGTGGGTTGGAGCTCTCCCATACGTGTGATGGAGCAGCAGCCCGTTTCGACTCGTGTGTGCTCGCTGGGCTGTTGCTGTGCACAGCCCGCTCTCCTAGTGAACCGGCGCTTCCCTGTCCGTTGGCTGAGTCCGTGCAGGTGATACGAGTGGCCAGGACACCGACCCGAAGCGTTGCACTCCGGGCAGCTCTTGCCTGCCCACGCAGCGAACAGTACACGCTATCAAAGCCCATTACGCACAGCAATATGCTGCAGTCCAGGCATGCAGCCGTGAGGGGGACAAAATGCTTGATGCAGAATTGTGCACGGCAGCAGTCCAGGCCTCCTGCATGTTTGCTTGGTCATGCTGCAACCCCCAAACCTGTGCCCAGGAGGAGGGAAGGGAGTTATGATGGGGTTACGATGGGATGTATCTCGTGATTGCAGGTCTCCAGTGCTTCACGTGGTCTGCTGCACATCGTGGTGACTGTTTTAGCTTAAAATATTTAGTAGCATGTGCCCTCTGCTGAACATGTTTCCAGTGGCGTTCACCTCACCGGAGCCAGGAACTCCTGGGGATGGGCAGAGTGTAACCTTATGGTCTCTTGGGACATCGTTTTACTTTGTGAGTTGCAAAGCAGCAGGCTGCATGGTCTGTTTGGGCCCCTGAGTGCCTATCTGTGTTTAATCAGATGACAGTTTAGGTCTAATCTACCACCCCAGCCATCACTATCACGCCTGAAACACAATTTGATGACTAATTCAAACACTGGCAGTATGGTATGAAAATTGCTCACATGTTATTAATAGGAAGGTTTCTTTAAACTTGTCAACACTTAATTTTATCAGTGGTCAAAGGCTTTGAGTTACTCATTACTGAAGAGATAGAAAACCTCTATGTTGTTTAGGATTAATCTGGAGTCTTCAATACAGATGTTACAGCAGGTGTAAGAAATTAAATCTTTTATGTTGGTTTTGCTGAACACAACCACTGCAAGAACATTGCTTGGTCCTTTCCTATGAGCCATCTTCCATGTGGAGCCCATGCCAAGATGTCTGGTGATTAGTGTTGCGTATCAGCGCGCTCTGGCCCCTTCTCTGGGAGAGAGGGAGAACGACGTCTCCAAGTGACCTAGGGTCTGTGTTGCTGTTGGCTTTGCCCTCCTCATCTTGTTCTGCATCTGCCCATCCCCTTCCCCATCTTCTGACCATGGCTTTTGAGTGTGTCATAAAGCATCTGTGAGCACTGGGCACTACTGACTACTTTAACGTGGGTAATCAGGTGTGGGTGACATGCAGCAGCAAGTAAGGCCAAGGGGTTCGCAAATGCCGCTGGTTCCTGGGTTATCAGAGCCTTCTGAGTCACTGTGAGCGCAGTGACTAAAGGCAAGTGTCTCCAGGTCAGTAGGATAGTTGATGGTGAGCATCCTTAGAAAGCAGAAAGGACTATTTGCATTTGATCTTGAAAGCTGTATGGATATGTAGCCAGGAGAGGATCAAATAGTTTCCTTGCTTCTTATACACCTTTCTCCAAACTGCAATATTCAAGTATAAAATCTAGTTGGGTGAGAAACATGCTGAGCATTTTGTTGGTTCCCAGAGGGCAACTGAGAATTAACTGCATTTTCACACAAGACTGTATTACAGATAAGGGATGAGTTACTAATTAGAAAACAGCATTGATTTTTATTAGATACTTTATTTCAAAATACTAGAAAAGAAAATGAGAGGTGCAGAAAGGTTTGGAGAAGACTAGGAAATAAACTCGAAGCTGTGGAGACCAGTTCACACTTTTATTTTGTAATTGTATCTCTGGGGAAGGGCACGACTGGCGACCCCTCGCATTTTCCCAGGGTGAGCAGCTCTGAGCGAGGCGATGTGCTGAGGCACAGTCTGCAGGAGGGAGGTCAGTGCTGCAGTGCTGTCACTGCTGTGCTCCAGCTTAAAGACAGAAGTGAACGCTTTAAGTGGAAAGGGTTGTATATTTAAGCAGTGAAGCAGTACAACCTGCACGAGTTTATATAACAATCTTTGAAGTGGTTTTGTTGATGCAAATCCCTGCCCACCACACTTCTCCCTGATGTTACTGGCATAGTCAACCTCCAGGCGAACCATGGACACAGCTTACCCTGAGGCCCCTGCTCAGCAGAGCAGCCCTGGGCACCGCCAGCCAGGGCCATGGGACTGCGGATGCCTCCCCACACCTAGTTTAGCAGCAGGCTTGGCTACCCCAGGGCAGCCAGGCCCTCCCAGGCCCCCATTCAGTTCTGTGCCAGGCTGAGGCCAGGCAGCAGATCCCGCGGAGGCTGCGAGCACCCTGGCATTGATGTCAATATGAGCGGGGACCCGCCAGCCCCCAGCCTGCCGGCCTGCAGGTTGTCGTGGGAATTGCTCCTCTGAGCAGCACCCAGGCTGGGAGCCCGGCCCCCGCATGTCTCTGAGGAGCCCCGGTGGGAGCGATTTTGGTTCTCCAAGGGGAACGGGCTTCAACAGTGCTGGTCCCTGGGTGTTGCACCAGCCTAGCAGAGCAAGCAGCAAGCTGCCTTGCTGGATGGCAACCTCAGAACAGAGAGCCAGAGACCCGGCCTGAAGCTGCGGCCAGATGTGGAGGCTCTTTCCCCCTCACCCTCCGCCTAAGTGGTTGGTTAGAGTGGGAAGCACAGCCAGGGCTCCCAGCAGAGTCATGAGGATCGGTCCCCACATGGACAGTCCAATTGCTTAATTCATCAAATTGAACCTAGGTGAACCTCTGTTTTAAATTACTGTGAGTGACAACAGCAACAACTGTCCCTGTCTCCCTCCTCATGGTAAAGCGAGCCCCCAAATTATCAGCGCGTGAAGCCCATTAGTGCCTCCTGTTAGGGCTAAGACTGCACACCTTCCTCCCCACTGCACGGCAGGGCCTGTGAAGCTTTAGAGGAGCAAACGCCCCAGAGAGGGGCTGCATGCGAGGGGCCGGGGCTTCCTGGCCACAGAGCCGGC